GCAGGATTGTAAACTTTTTGACTCTGTTCGTGTTATTGTTCCAGATAAATCGAAAGCAGTATTAAAATTTAAAAATTATCGAGCAATGTTGCGTAAACCGTTTGTAATATATTGCGACTTTGAATGCTTTACTATGCCGATATCGCATACTAAGCCAAATCCGCTTTCATCGTACGCTTATAATTATCAACAACATGTAGCATACAGCGTTGGCTATTATACCGTATGCTCCTTTAATGCTGTCTATAACAAATTCGATCTTTTCCGCGGAGCAAATCCTGCTGGTTGGTTTGTATCGCAATTGAAAGCAGAGAGTCAAAGAATTTATAACATTCTGTCTTCGGAAAGTTCTCATTCTCTCATTCCCCTCAACGAAGAGGAATTAGAACAACATAAATTAACAAACGAATGTCCTAATTGTTCTCTTTCATTTTCGAATACGAATCCAAAGGTAAAGCATCATTGCCACTATACCGGAAAATATATCGCAAGTATTTGTAATAATTGTAATTTGCAGATAAAAAAAAATTTTGAAGTAAAAGTGGTTTTCCATAATTTAAATTATGACTTGCACTGTTTTTTTCAAGAACTGGCTGCACAGGCGAACGTTAAACTTATTCCTTCCACTGCCGAAAAATATATATCGTTATCAGTTTATTTTGGATTAGTTCGTTTGGTGTTTATCGACTCTTTTCGTTTCTTACCCGATAGTTTAGACAATTTAGTAAAAATATTATCCCACGATAAACTAACACATACTTCTCAATTCTTTCCTATTATCGAACAGTTTGATCTAGTCAAGAGAAAAGGCGTGTTTTGTTATGATTATGTCAATTCGTGGGCATCGTTAGAAAATACCAGTTTACCTCCTATTGAGGACTTCTACAGTAAATTAAAAGACGAAAATGTTTCTAACGAAGATTATGCGCATGCATTAAAGGTATGGGATTTGTTTAACTGTAGAAATTTGGGCGAATATTCTGATCTATATTTGAAAACGGACATTTTGCTATTAGCGGACGTATTTGAAAATTTTAGAAATTTCACAATGACCTATTATGGTTTAGATGCTGCCGAATTTTTAACAACACCTAGTCTCGCTTATTCAAGCGCTCTTAAAACAACTAGAGCACGCATAGATTTACTTACAGACATTGAGATGATATTATTTTTTGAAAAGGCAATAAGAGGCGGCATAACTCATTCCGTACATAGGTATGCTAAATGTAATAATCTCGAATTTCCTCACACATTTGATTCAAGCGAAAAAGTCAACTACCTAATGTATTGGGACGTGAATTCTCTCTATGGTTATGCTCAATGCCAAGGGTTACCTACGGGTAATTTTCGCTGGTTGTCACCGGAAGAAATTGACTATATGGAAATCAAGATGAAAACTGGCATTTCCAACAAGTCCGATAATTACTTATCTTATGCTTTGGAGGTTGATTTAGAATATCCGCAACATTTACATACTCAAGATTCTCATAATGTTTAAAATTTGGATTGGTGTTAAAAAAATTCATAGTTATTGAATTTAGGCAATGCGATTGGTTGAAAAGTTTTACAGATTTAAATACAGATTTTAGAATGAAATGCAATAGTGACTTTGAAAAGAATTTATTTAAATTGATCATAAAGGTTTCGGTAAATTTTTAGAATGTGATCGCAATAAAAGAGATATAAAAGTTGTAAACAATTGGCGAGCGGCTTCGAAATTAGTTCTGTTACCTCATTTTAAGAGAGTTACTATCTTCAATGAAAATTTAATAGTATTCGTATTGAAACGAACATGTATTGAAATGAATAAGCCCTTATTTCTCGGGTTCACCATATTAGAATAGTCAAAATTAAAAATATATGATTTCTATCATGATTATATTCAAAGTAGGATTTCTCCTCACTTTCATCCACAACTTCTTTACATGGATACGGATTCCTTAATTTACCAATTTACGCGAACCGACAGTAATAGTAACACCTCTATTTATGACATTATACGCGAAGACGCGGCATCACATATCGACACAAGCGATTATCCTATTCACAATAAATGGTGTATACCGCGGGTCAATAAAAAAGTTCCTGGTTTAATCCCAAATTTTAACCGAGTTTATAAGTCTCAGACCCAAAATGTATATTATAAAAGTTGATGGTAGAGAAAGAACTGCGAAAGTAAAAGGAGTTTCGCTAAGCGCCAAACGAAAGTTGACATTCGAAGATTTTCAACGATGTCTGTTTGATAATGAAATTTGTTTTTCCGAATTCTCAGGGATACGTTCGCAAAATCATCAAAATTTCAGTTATACTATCAATAAATTAAGTTTATCGTCAAATGATAATAAACGGTTTATTAAAGATAATAAAATAGCTACTTTACCTTGGGGTCATTATTCGTTAGAAACTGAGCATCATTTACATTAAGAAATTATAATCTTTTAAAAACATTTATTTATAACAAAAACCTTTATGAATAGTCTTTTAATTGTTACATACCCTGTATATCAAAGGCTTCTTTAATAAAAGCAAATGAATTATTCGTCTCTTCTTTATAGATTCCGTTACTTAATACGAATATCTATACGCTTACACATATGAATAAAGCATTGCATGTGTCTATCTACGTTAGTGTGTAAATACTGCGTTTCACCAACACATGCTCACTGCACATTAAACGATAAATTTTTATTATGTAACATTCAAGGTCAATAAATATTATTAATTACATTCATTAGCAATGAGGTAAACGAAAAACAAAAGCTTCTTTAATTATAACTACTCTCATGGTACACATGCATACACATACTGGTACATACATACATAGCAGATAGCCGCCAATTGTACTTATAATTCGATCAAGGTCGCTTAGGATGCTCTCACACAGACGCACGCACACTTTACAAACAAACACACACACACACGCACACAGACACACACATATACACGCAAACATTCGCACGCGCGGCGTATTGTTAGCGTAAATACATCAACGGTGTGCAATATTTACTTTTATGTTACCGTTGCACTGAAGACTCTATGTTTAGTCGGTTGGTTAACACGTCGGTCTAGCAGCATTAAAGCTGTTTTGCCTTGGATCGAACCAGAACTCTGTTCACAGTTTTTTTTCAGAAAAAAAAAATGTCGCAACAAGGCGGCGAGAGATCTGGCGGCGAGAGGACAAACTGCAGCGAAGATAGCGGAAAATTCAAAGTCGCAGACGATAGTAGCAGAGCGAAGCCCTGGCTGAAAATGACAGCTGTCAAAGATGGCCGGCAATGACAGATATCAAAGATGGCCGGCGATGACAGCTGTCAAGGATGCCTGACAATGCCAGCTGTCAAAGATGGTTGATGGCCCTGACGTCAGAGTGGGAGTGGAAGGGGTAAAACGGTCGAAAAAGGACGAAATTGAACCTTCATAAGAAAATACATGGGATTTTGAGGCCGAACTGTCATAGCCTATCTACT